GAAAAACCACACAGAGTCCCAGGGAAGGAAAAACTAATCCTAGTGACCCCCACCTGGAATGTCCTGAGGTTACAGAACCCTGAGGGGAAAGGTGGAGTCTCACAGGCCGCCAGGCAGAGATCCCGTGTGGGAAGGAAACAGGCCGCCCCCAGGCTCTGCCCACACATGTCCCAGAGGACGGTGAAGGACAGTGTGCTCGTTCTCAGCAAAGGCAGGGTGCTTCGTGAATTTCATGCCCAGGGTAGTTGTTTTAAATACTCCAACAGCAGACCATCTCCATTGTGCAGAACCTTATGAAATACAGAAGCCACTAGCCCTTTAAGAAGGGCTACATCCCCATGATGTGATATGGGAAGTAACAAAAAAAGAGGAGCTCTGGTGAGTAATGACTACATTTAAAAATAGAAAAAAAGAGGAAATAAGTATGGGAAATGTTTACAGAGGAAAAGAGGACTATTAGAAATAAAAAAAACAAAAATCAAAAAACGACGGTAACAAACCAGTACTGGGGAGAGGAGGGCTGGAAAAGGGTAAAAATATAGAAGTTCATCATTTATGGCACAGAATCAACAGGGACATTCAACATGTTGTTAAAAATAAGACTCTCAGGAGGGGACTCAGAGCCCAGGCAAAGTGGAGAGAGTGTGTGTGTGGGGTAGCGTCTTCCCCATAGAGGCCCAGCCCAGAGAGGGCAGCAGAGTCCAAGGAGGGTGAGGCTGGGGATGTGGAGAACCACCACGATTTTTCCTTTTCTAGTGAGTGATCCTTTGTCTTTGAACCTGTAGCTCCCCTTCTCGGCCTTTTTGTTGATTTCAGGACTAACCATGTAGGAACAGGGCCTGGTGCCCAGTAGAGGCTTAAGGACTGTTTCTGAATGAATGAGGGTGAGTGGCTACGGGCCTCCCCTGGGTACAGAGACTGGCCCAAGAGGGGGCAGCAGGGTGATCTGTGCTCATGTTCCCAGAGGAAACCAACAGAAGGTCCCCCTGAGCAGGGGACCAAGGCAGGTGGCACTGAGGATCCAGGCTCTGTTCTAGCCAAACTGGGGGTGCCCAGTCCCTGGGGTGTGGGGACAAAACCCATGCATGACCCCTAGGAGTGACAGGAAGTGGGAAGCCAAAAGCAAGGAAGCAATCCTGGAAGTGACACAGGAGAGAACGCAGAGGAGGGCCCAGGAAGGAAGCATCCTCTCTGCTCTCACTTTTAGCCACAGGGGCCAACAGCCAGTGTGAGGGTGAATGTGTCCCTTGGTTAGGCCATGGCACCCTGGTGTTGCTGTGAGGGTATGATTTAGACAAGAGTAACATTCAAATCAGCAGCCTCTGAGCAGAACAAATGACTCTCGACAGTGTGAGGGGGCCTTATCCCATCAGTTAGTGGCCTTAAGGGACATCGACCACTGCCTCTGTCTCCTGCCTTTGTACCCAAAATGCAGCATCAGCCCTTCCCTCTGTCCTAAGGCTGTCAGCCCACCCTGCAGTCTCCACTTGACCGCCTCCACATTGCATGAGCCAATTCCTTAAAATCAATCTTTCCCTCTTCATCTCTGTCTCTCTCTCCTACATATTCCTCATGGGTTCTGTTGCTCTAGAGAACTCTGACTACTGCACACAGATTCAAGGAAAGTTCCAGTGTTCCAAGCCCCTGCCGAGGGGCCTCCTCTCCTGTATCCTACACTGTCCTTCCTGGCCAGAGCTAAGGCTGACTCTCTTGCCCCTGTGATACAAGAAAGTGGACCGCAAAACTGGGGTCCAGTCTGAAGGCCAAGTGGTTTCTCAGCTTCATGCAGGAAAGAGTTCAAGAGCGAGCTGACAGAGTGAGGTAAAAGCAAGATTATTGAGGTGGGGAAAGCAAGAGAGGTGGCTGCCTGGAGGCAGAGCCGTGGCCGTCCTTCAGAGCAGCAGAGGCGCACTTTGTGACTTCCTAGGGTCTCATTTTATACCTTCTATTCAATTTGATGTTCACAGGAGGGAGGATTATTTAAAAGATTTTTGGGAAGGGATGGGGTCCCTGGAACCACGGGTTCCACTTCTTTTTTTTGATAAGAGTCTACTCTGTCACCCTGGATAGAGTACCATGGCATCACAGCTCATAGCAACCTCAAACTCTTGGGTTGAAGTGATTGTCTTGCCTCAGTCTCATGAGTACCTGGGACTACCGGCATCCACCACAATGCCAGGCTGGTTTTTGTATTTTTTTTTTTTTGAAACAGTGTCTCAAGCTGTCTCCCTGGGTGGAGTGCCATGGTGTCACAGCTCATAGCAACCTCAAACCCTTGTGCTTAAGTGATTCTCTTGCCTCAGCCTCCATAGTAACTGGGATTACAGGTGCCCACCACAATGCCTGGCTATTTTTTGTTGTTGTTGTTGTAGTTGTTATTGTTGTTTGGTAGGCCCAGGTTGGATTTGAACCCACCAGCTCTGGTGGATGTGGCTGGTGCCCTAGCCGCTGAGCTACAGGTGCCAAGCCAGTGTTTATATTTTTAGTGGAGATGGGGACTCACTCTTGCTCAGGCTGGTCTCGAACTCATGAGGTCAATTGATCTACCTGCTCACCCTTCAAGAGTGTTGGGATTATTGGCATGAACCACCATGCCTGGCCTGTTCCACTTCTTTTAAACCACATAGGGTAACTCCCCAACATGGCTGTGTAAACTGTCATGGTGCTGGTGGGAGTTTCTTTGAGTATACTAATGCATTATGAGCAGGGCATAGTGAATGGTGAGGGTAACTTGAGATCACTTTTCATCACTTCTTGGCTCTTACAGGTTTTGGATGGTGTGTCCACCACCTCCTGTTTCATCAGAGATCTTGCTTCGAGTCTTAGGACTCCTTCTGGAGCAAGAGCTGATGGTTCCTTATGTCCCCTTCACACTAGCGGCCAGTGGCCTCCTATTTGGCCTCTGAATTGCCCAGAAGTAAGAGTCCTAAGAGAGGAACTTGAAAGGAAGGGAACAGTTGTCTTGTTCTCATTATAAACTTGCTGGTGTCTTTAGAGAATTACTCATTTGGGAAACCTTTACATCCATAGTGGGGATTCTAGTCTAGACCCTTTACAAAGACCAGGAGATGGAGCCCAGTCTTGCCCAGCCCTCTGGTCACCCTGATCCTGCCAAACAACAATAACAATAACAGTGCTCTGAGCTCTGTCCCAGACCCAGGGTCTGTGGGTTGCTACTCCACAATTCCCTGATACACAGGTTTTCTCCCATGTGCCCCAAATGACAGCAGAACTCTACTATAGCACTCTCAAGAGTGGTAAGACAACATAGTGACTTTAATGGGAAGGGGTATGGTGACAATAGGGAGGATGTGACATTCAATCTCACGTTCATTTGCACATGACCAAGTGCCGAGGCATGGGTCCTACTCCAGATTTTCCTCCCCAAGCACCAAAATGCAGCCACTGGGCACCCGGAGGCCTTTGCTCAGAGAACCTTTAAGTCTTCACTCACAGTTGGTCCGTGAGCAGAGTTTGGCTCAGTTTTTCTATTTTCATGGGGCTTAAAATTTCAAACCGACTATTGGCTGGAGTCCTGCACCCCTGGAATGCAGAGGAAACTGCATCAACATTGGAGGTGTCTCAGCCTGGAGATTCCACATGTCTGCCCTGGACCCGGGGCCCCGGGGCCGATGTATTCCCTTCCTGTATTTCCCACTGCACCTGAGCCCTCAGGGGAAAGGAAGGTTCTGCCGGGCACCAAGGGATCTGTAGGGAAGCAGGGAGCCAGGGTGAGCCCCAGAGGCCTAGCACGGCTGCAACGGGCAGGGGGATGAGGGGCTGTTTCCTGAAGCTGGGCTGGAGCTGCCTTCTGAATCAGTCACTTACTTTAGAAATGCTTGTCATGTGTTGGAGGCTGTTTCTGTCTGGGCAGGGCATCAGTGGGCATCATCGGGCCAACCTGGCCTCCCTGCAGAGCTTCTCTGAGGCCTGTTCACCCAGAGGACGGCACTCAGCATACTCAGGAGCAGGGGCAGCTCCAGAAGGACCAGGATCAGGAAGAAGGGGCTTGTGAGGAAGGACCTGTGGGGACATGGGGATGGGCAATGAGCTGCCTCCTGGGGAGGGGTCTCAGGCCTTCCAGCTCTCCCTGTACCTGGATCCTGGATTCCCATAAAATGTGAGGGGGAGCCTGGGTCCCAGTTGGGACAGCCCCTTTGGAGGGGGACAGTTGTGCTGCTCTTGAGCCAGGCCTCATGTCCCCCCAGTAGGCTTGGCCTGGCATTCGAGGCCCTTTCTGTTGACAACCGTCCTGGTTTTTGTCTGGTCTCCCACAACTCCCCTTCACATAGCCTGTGTTCCAGCCAGGAGGGAGGGCTTACCGATTTTTGCTTTTTTTGCCTTGGTTTCTCTGCTGTTTTCTTTACCTGGAAGGCCTGTGGAAGCCCTATGCATCTTTCAGGGATGAGATGCTTGACGGCTTCCAGAAACCATACCCAGTTGGTCACCTCTACTCTGATCTCCTGCATGGATCAGCACCTGCCCTGCAGTCCCTGATGTCCCCTTCCCCTTGTGATTCCTGGGGGTGTGTGTGAGGCCCTGAACCTATGACTCTCCACTTACCACCCCCTCTCTTGGGCCACTTCCTCCCAACTTGGGCCATTTTTGCTTTTCCCCCTCAACTTTGTGCCACTGTAGCTCATGGAGAAACTGGAAAAATCGAGAGTGTGTGCAGCTGTTGAGTGCTTGCTGTGTGCCCTAAAAGCAGGCTGAGCGTGCTCCCAGGAGTCAGATGCTGTACAGAAGACCATGGGCCAGAGTGCCCTCAAAGTCCTTCCCCAAGCTCTGCACGCTGTGGGCTCTGCCGCCACCTCTCTGGAGTCTCCTGCCCTCAGACTCCCAGCTAAAATCGCATCCATGTGCTCAAAAGCACTGAGGAGGGAAAAGTCAAAAAAGAAACAATCAAGGAAAGGAATCCTGAAGCAAGTCCAGGCGGAGGTCCTCACTCACATTTACATAACCGCGGATGGGGTGAATGCCGGGAGCAGAGTCCGACTGGACAGGGAACTAGGGAAGCCCAAGAAATTTTCCCCAGAGCTCTACACCTTCCTCTGGCAGGAGCAGAGAGCTGTGTGGTGGGGGCTCTGGACTTGGCCAGGGGGCCTGACCACAGCAGGCTGTGATGGGAGTCACAGCCAGGCTGGCCGGCAGGGGCGACCTTCTGGGGAGTCCTGCACACCTCCCCTGGTGGTGAGGGTCAGGCTGCTCCTACCCCTCAGAGCTTCCAGCCGCTTACTCTCCCTCTCAGCATTTTCTAGTCCTACCCTCTGGGATTTGGGGAGATCCTGGCTGGAACAATACTAGTTCTTGGCAGGAAGCAGGAACAGATGAGACAGGAGTCTCTCCTGCCCACTGAAGGTCCCAGGAGGTGGGAAGGGACTGGAGGACAAAGACCAAAGGCCAGTGCTCAGTC